GGTTTCTTATAGTTTTTGTTCCTCCTCTAGGACAATGCTGGGACAGTGTATTTTGACAGGCCACAACTGCTTTTTTCCTCAGTCACCATTCATAATCATCCTGTCACTTGATGCTGTATCACTTGGATAATTCAAATAGTTATGTAATCCAAGAATCAACAGATAACAGACTGAGATTTTATGTTTTCACAGCAGTGAAAGGGTTTGTTGTGGCCCTCTGAATTGTGATGCAGTGTAGTTTTGTAGGTTAGGTTAACAACATTTCTCTGATAAATTGGTAACCACCTACAAGACTGCAGAACATTACAACCTAGAAGATACAATTGACAAGTATGAACTGAGTTAATATGGCACATATCTGCGAAAAAAAGATTATTAATGTGTATGATAAAATAAAAGTTTTGAGTTTCACTAACTGGTAACTCATCTTTCACACAAATGCTTATATTTTGTCTCTTTACACAAGTGATTTCTCACCTTTGAGAGTCCATAGTCTTCCTCTGTTTTGAGAGCCATTAAAGTGGGCCTCAGTAAGGTAGTGTGTGACTTGATGGTCTTCTTGTGACCCCAACTGTAGCTTGAAATGGCCTTTAGGCGGGCATAGCTAGCAGCACCAACAGCTTTAAGGTGTTCCGTGCTATGATCTGTCTTGGGAAGCATAGTGAGGAAGTATTCTAACCTCTCATCCCAGGTCTTCAGAGGCGTGATCTTCTCAACCAACTGTTAACGTACAAGTTCATATTAATCTCATTTCATTATAGTTATTTATGACATATGAATCACAGATCCAGGGTGATGTAACCTAGCATAAAAATATTACCAGGAAAAACAAACTCTCACCTTCATTTGGGAGAAGGCAGCTCTGCTGTAGCAAACAAGGACGGCTAAACCAAGCATCCAATGTCCCAAAACTGGATATTTTGGCTAAGGGAGTCTACCACTACATAAAATCTTGGTGCTGTGGGATGGTTTCTGCTATGAACCAGCATTTAATATACAGTAGGCCCTCATTATCTGTCAGTTACTCTATAACATCACTATTTCCATTTCTGTCATCTGTTTCCTTTTATGCTGATTTATGTATCAGCCGGAATTCATATGGCTTATAGAGCATGTAGTTGTACTGCACACTTGTCTACTACCAACAAGCCAGAAGTAAACTGAAGATCTTTTCCTCATTTATTTATTTTTACAATAATAAATGGTCATGTCTGCAATAAATTAGGATGATAAGGCCAAGAACAGT